CCCAGCCCCGCTCACCGGCAACGCCGCCGCCGCCGCGCCTCGGGGGCCTTAAAGGGACGGAGCCGGAAGGGGCGGGGCCGAGGCCGGAAGAGCCGCGCGGCAGCGGGGCGGGGCCAGCGGCGGGGGAGGGAGGAGCCTGGGGGGATTTAAAGGCGCAGGCACCCGCTTCCCGCCTCTAGGAGCGGGTGAGGGAGGGTAGTGGCGGGGTGAAGTCTGAGCCCGCTTCAGCGTGCGGGAGCGAGACCAAGTCCTCTGGGAATGCGGCTTTTTTCCTTGCTTAGGCGACAGGGGGCCCTACCTAGGCCTGTAACCATGGAAGATTGGGGAGTGGATGCTGGCTGTGAGCCTGGGCCCTGTTTCCTCAGGGAGGCCCTGTCTGAGGGGAGACCTGTGCTTCCTCTGGTGCCTGTGGGCTCTTGTAGCCGAATTCTGCCGCATTTTTGGTATAAATAATCGATTGGGTGGTGCCATGTTCAGCAGCAAGATGTTGTGCTGTGGGGCTGGACACAATCCACAGCAGGCCTCAGTCTGGCAGTGCTGGAAGAAGGTGAGGCAGAGGTGTGAGAGCTGAGGGACTGTGTTATGCTCTGAATTCCAGGGGATGAAGCTGACTGTCAGCACAGTCTTTGGCTGTGGGGTGTTGTGAAATGCCTTCTTCCACCTGCTGTTATGTAAATGAGTCAAATCTTGAAGGATTTCCATGTAAATTTTAAATAATTCTAACATGTGTGAAGTGAGAGCTGGCCTGTTGCATTTGCTTAGAAAATCCACTCTGTAAATGTGTATCTAAAATGGAGTGTTGAAAAAAAACTTATGAACTGAATAATGTCCAAAAAAACTTGACCTTGCTGTTGCTTTTGAGGTATGCTGGGTAAAAGAACTCTGATTTTGGGACAGCACTGGCAGCTCATGAGCTTGTGGTTTCTGTTCCTATGACTTCAAGCTGAGGCCATCCCTGTCTCATTTAAAGGTGTTCATTTATCTTCTGCTGGCATGTATTTTGGCAGCTGCCCACTTTTCAGGCTTGTTCTCTAGGCATTATTGTCCCATCATCTTTCATCACAGGAAGAGGGCAAGTATGGAATTGTATTTACTTAATAAGACAACACTGTGCAGCTTCCCTTTTTAAGGTGGCTGGGTATAGTGAAAGCAGGCTATTCTTTGTGTGGCTGGAGACACTGCTGAAATAGTTTGATCAAATGCTATCAGAGAAGTTATTTGGAAGTTCATTATTGGGTCTTACAGACATCCAAGTCAAGATTCATGGGTGTCTCTTACGTTAGTGCATTATTGCTTGAATTATAGTGGAGAGCAGTTGGGAGGAGTCTTGCTGGCACAGGCAGGAAATGGTTAAGAGCCTTTCATATCACCTGGGAAAGCAATTCTTTGATTTTTCAGAGGGCGCTAACATGCTGCAGTTCATAGGAAACAAAGGAAAGGGGATCAAGTATAAAAGTTGTTCTTGAATTTTATTTTCAGTGGCAGAACTTATGAGGGCTGGATATTGATGTCAGCTGAAAAATACGGATTTTTGGATTAAAAATAATTTCTTTCTTCTCATCTTTGTCCAGAAAATGATTTGTGAGGTAAGTCTTGATACCAACTAGTGACTTTAGATAACTTCTTTTTAGACTGAGAGGTAAGAAAAACGTTTGTCTTCCTGACCCATTTTAAAGCTGTGAATTCTTTGCTTAAATTGTTACTTGGGCAGGGAGTACAGGCAGAAGTGTGAGTCAACAACTGTAAAAAGCCCACAACGCTTTCCTGTATTGTCTGCATTCAAATTGCTTGCATTAATTTCTGAGCTGAAGTATAAAAATTCAAGAACCAGGAGAAAGATAATGAATCAGGGGAATTTGCAATTAAGAGTTGCAGTAAATATTTCAGCAATGACAGGAGACTTTCAAATTGTAGTAAGTGTCTATGTTAATACACTTCTGCAGTTGATGCTTCAAGCATCTTCTGTTGGTGGCTCTTAAAGTACTTCCTAAACCTTGTTTCTTTAAACCACGCTGCATTCCCAGGGGTTTTATGTTTCCAGCTTGTGTAAGAACTTTGCTGGTAGATTGTACAGTTGCTGGTCCTGTGCTGCTCCTTAAAGGCAGACTGTTTTGAGGGGGTATAAGAGAGGTTTCTCACCTTAAAACGTGCTGCTGGCTTTTTGTCTGTGTGAAAACATGCTTTTTCACTTGAGGGTGATTGGATGGTAATAGCTCATGCACAGTTGTCACTGAGAGCAAGTGCCATGTGAAGGGAAATCTTTATATCCTGTGGAGAGCCCTACAAACCATCCATTCACCTTGGAAATGCTAAACGGAAAGTAAATTAAACTCTCACTCCTGGGAAGGTTAATTGCAGCTTGTTCCTTTATGTATTTCTATGCCTGTCTATGTACTGGATTCTGGTGGATTTATTGAGGTTTTTTGGGGAATGCTGATTTTATTTTCTTTCCCTTTCTACTTTTCAGTTGATACCCACACCTCAGATACCACTTACTGTATCTCCCACTTCAGTAGTGTGCAGCACAGTGGTGTAACGCATCTGGTGCTGTGATATAGATAAGCATCAGTCCTTGCAAGAGTCACCTTGCCAGTTATTCTTGCTATTGCCTGTTGTTCCCAGTTTCCCTTGCACCCCCACGTTTTGCTCAGGTGCTAATTTCTTGTCAAGAACGGGGAGGACTGTAATCCAGTCAGGGCTGGTAGATGTCAACTCTTTCATCTTGGACATGAACACCCTAAAAGGCGGACTCAGGACCATTTAGTTCCTGCAAATTATATTCCTCATCCCTGTGTTTCAGTTCCCCTCATCAAGCAAACTTTTGTCATCTTTCTGTTGGTTTTCCTAAGGTGCAGGAGAAGCTGTGGACATTCACAGCTTTTGAACTATCTGCTCCCAGATTTGGGCTGGACGGGAATCTTTTATCACCCCGCCCTATTTTGGATTAATGTGTTATTTGGTAAGGTTATGACATGCTCTGATCTATTGCATTTTGCTGCTTCTGGGTCTTGAGCTTACATCCCTGTGGCAACTGCAGAAATAAATCACTGGAGCTCAGTGACAGAAACTCTATCTCGAAACACGTTGCGCATGATTCACAGTTAAATGTTGCTATTAGGGATCTAGAGAGCGAATTGCTTTTGCATTTAAACAAAAGATTGCAAATGCAGATTGTTTTATTCAGTAAGACTTCTCTTATTTGGAAAAGTTATTTTTCTAAAAACTTGACTGTTAAGTGTTTTTGCTTATGTTGTCAGTATCTGACATTCATTTAAGCTATTCAGTGTGAAAGCCTCTTCTCTTTCTTTACCAGTGCTATTGATTAAAATGTGGTTTACATTTCTTGGGAAAATTCGATATTCAAAAATGTCTTTTCACTGTGAGTCAGAATGTACTTTTCCATGGAATAAAAATTCTGGAAAGGAAAAAAATGCTATTGGAAATGTTGAACAAATTATATTGTCGTTTCAAGCAGGTTGTACAAGAAAAAAGAAAGCTCTTCAAAGTCAAAATGAAGGGCTCTGGTGTTTTTGACATATTTTGAGAAAATTAATACATTCTTCTGCAGTTGTTCAATTTTATCTGTTCAGCGTTTTCCATATGAAACTTTTTGAGAATGTTCTATACTGGCCTTAACTCCAAGTTCCTGTTTAATTCAATTGGCTGTTTCAAATTACATATTAGAAACGAATTACGAAGCTTTTTTTCTCCTTTGTCTTCAGCCATTGATGTTTCTTCTAGAACTAATAGAAGTGGTTGTTTACAGAATTTCATAGTAGTTTTCAGTTCTTATGCTTTAACTGCTGTATCCAATGGTACAATTATTTCCAGTAAATCCCTGTTTTTGAAGAAAACTGGACAGGAAAGACCTTTGGAATGTAACAGGTTAAAATATAATTTTGCTGTTAGCTGTGTTGCAGCTTGCAGATTAGAAATCAAAACATTACCGGAATAATTACTGCTGGTTTGGATGCCTTCGCATGATTCTCTCCTTGTCGATATTACTGTGGTTACATTACACCATACTACTGTGGTCATTTTTTGGTTTTAAATATTCCTTTCCCCTTAATTGAAAACACTTTTCTATGCTAAATAGAAAAGGACCTGCGCTCAGCAGTGTGCACTGAGGTGTTGCCTAAATTATAGAGAAAACACACTTTGTGGCAAGATCTGTTTTTTCACTTCTCTAAAACAGTACTCCCTGAGGACAAGGGGGTGCCCTGGTGGTGATGGGATTTGGGCTCTGGACATGCCTAACCCTGAACTACCCTGGCTTACACTGATTCTCAGTAGTGCAGACTGGCCTCTCCTGGGACTGGTGGCAGGTACCGACAGAAGGACCAGCTTGGGCAGTCTTGAGGGCATATGTTTCCCTCCAGTCTTGCAGAGGGAGCAGATACTGTTACCCTGTTTTGGATAGAAGTTCAAAAAGATAAAAATTTCATACTATGCTTTTCCAGCATCATAATGTTCTTAGTGAATTTTTTTCAGTGTGCAACCTGTTTGCAGTTTAATTAAGCTTATTATTCCTTGTCCAGAGCATTGTGGTCATGAAGAGCAGATGTTATAATGTCCCATCACACTTGTCACTTCTCTGTACTAACCAGTACTTTGATTTTACTGCAGATGATTTTCTAACCCTTGGACCTCTCCTTTGGATTCTCTCCAGTTAGCCCATTATCTTTCCTGAAGTGTGTTGCCCCAAACTGAACAAGACTTCAGCAGAAGCTTTACCAGAGCCAACTGGAGGGAGACAACTCCTTGGCTGGTCCCAATGGTGTCAGAAAGATGAATTTCTTCCTGAGCTGTTCTTCCCCACTCTGAGTTGTCTCAAGTACTTGTTCTCAAATCTGCTGCTGATGTCCATATGATTTGGTATATAACTCATCTCTTCTCTGCTTTAATTTCCCTCCAATTTGAAAAGAAAAACTTCCATATACACATTACCTCTTAGCTAGCTTGAAATTTTTGGATGAGGGGCATATACAAAGTAAGTGGAAAATAATCAGTACATTTGCAAGCCAGTTTAGAGCTCACCAGAAGCAAAGAAGGGGACAAGATACTTTACAAAATCCTGGAAGGTACAG